CCCCAGGCCAGCAAACAGGCCCTGCCTCCTCCCGCTGGACCGCTCCCTGCCCCTCCCACCCCTCCTCCCGCCTGCAGGGCCCTGGAAGCCCAGCCTGGCCTCAGGATCCCAGGGCCCGACCCCCAGCCCAGGCCTGGCCACCTGCCTGCCGCAGAGCCCTGTGCTGCCAGGAGCTGCCCTCATCATTCTCAGCTGCAGCCTGTCCCAGTGTCCCCTCTGGGGACAGATGCCGGACTTCAGACGGCCACAGCATCTGGGCGTGGCTCAGGAATCGCTGTCCCCAGGAGGCTGGAGACGAGGGCCCACCTCACAGCCCCCCCCCCCACCCTGGCATACACGCTGCCTCTGGGGACCCCTCCCTGGGTGGGGGCCGGGCGGGTCCTGCAGTGCTCTCCCCACTGACAAACAGGCCCACCTCCTCCCCAGGACCCCCAGCCCAGGACCCCGGACCACACCCAGCCCTGGCCTTGGCCCGCGGGTCGGGGGTCCAGGCTTGCCTGAAGCCTCCCAGGGTTGGGCACCTGGGTGCTGGGACTGGGGTGCAGGGCACTGTTGGAGGCAGGGCGAGGAGCTGGGGCTCCAGCCACATCTCTGCAGGCCTGGCTCTGGGCAGAGCCCCCACCCACCCGGACCGGGCTCTCCGCCTCTCCAGGCAGCAGGGAAGCGAGAGCATCAATGATTGATGCTTCTTTGCAGCAGCCGCAGCAGCATAAGCAAAAATAGCTCTTGCCATTGTCCCTGCCCTGGCCCTGCCCACCCCAAGGGGCACAGTGGGGGGGGCGCGGGGGGATCTGGACCTCCACAGCTACCTCCACCCTATGCAGCAGGGCTGGGGCTCAGGGACAGGCCGAGGTGTCCTTCCTGAGGGGCCTGGGAGGGCTCTTCTCCTGACCACACTGCACCCCACTTCACGGCCCCTGGACCCCCACTTTAATGGGGACCTGCCCCGCTGGCCAGTCTCCCAGCTGGTGAAGCATGTTCACCTTGAACAGCTGCCTGCTCTGCCCACCCACGTGGAGGCCTGATCTTTGGCTGGTCCCCATGTCATGCCGGGTCTGTCTGTCCAGATGCTGACCTGAGGAGCAGGGGTCGCCTATCAGCAACCTGGGCTGCCCTCACCCCCTCCTTCCGCCAGGGCTGAGCACCCAATGTCGGGGACCCCTCTGCCGCCGCCTCTGAGTCTTGACTCACCCTCGGAGCACCTCCTGAGTGGGGTCAGCAGGTACATGAGTGTCCTGTGGCCACTGTGACAAGTAACCACTGTGGCAAGTAACCGCGCACAGAGTTATAGTCCGTTCATTCTTTCACAGTTCGGGGCGGGGGGGGGGGCTGTGCTCCTCTGGGGGTTCAGGGAAGACCATGGCCTTGCCTCTTCAGCCTCTCAGGGCTACCTGCATCCCTCGGGCCGGGCCCCACATGACTCCCAGCCCTGCTCCCATCTTCCATCCTCTCTCAGCCTCTGAGCCTCCTAACTCCCAGGATATTGTTTTCCATTGATCTTTTAGAGCAGTGGTTCTCAACCTTCCGGCCCTTTAAATACATGTTGCGACCCAACCGTAAAATTATTTTCCTTGCTACTTCATAACTGTAATGTTGCTACTGTTATGAATCATAATGTAAACTAGAGGCCCAGTGCAT